TTATTATTATTTATTGGTGTTATTTATTATTGTTATTACTATTTTTAGGAGTCGAATGAGTTGAAATCAGAGGAAGCAGAAGTAAAGCCTATTGAAGAAACAGCCGGAAAAGATGAGGATGAAGTGGATAGGAAGCGTGAAAAATCCGCAGAGCCTTCACCAGAGATAGTACGGGAACAGGAGAGAGTACCAGGTATAGAAATAGTGATAATTTTTATTGTTGTTGTTGCTGCTGTTTATTTTCATTGTTGTTATAATATATATAATTATTTATAGTTATATAATATATAATGTTATAGTTAATATTCTGTACGTATTATTTATCATTATGGTTATATAATAATAAAGATAATAATTATAGAAAAGGAGATTCGAGAAGAGAGTTCACCACCAAAAGATGAAGCAAAAGTAGAGAAGGAGGGTGAGGAGCGAAGTCTAGTTGAGGGGGTGGAGAGTATTGATTTGAATAAGGAGGGGAATATTAATGAGGGTGATTCGGTGGTGATGAATAATACCGATGAGAATGTTAATAAAGTTATCGTGAACGGAAACGAACCGAATGCGAACGATGGAGATCAACATAAAACAGCAACGTGGGTGTTTTTGTATTGTTTTGATTTGATTTTATTATTTTTTATTTTTTTATTTTTGAATGTTTTTATTATTTTCTGTTATTATTTTTAAAATTTAGGATTTTTATTTGTTATTTATTTTGTTATTGTTTTTTATTGTCGTTATTATTTATTGCGATTGGTGTTGATTAGTGTTATTGTTATAATAGTAGTAATTAATTAGTGATATTATATTTGGTGTGAATTGTGTTATTGTGGTTGTTTTTAAAATGTTTTTATTGTGAACGCATCGCAGGTGGTGGGCGCGCGCGAGAAAATGTTTAATGTTTTCGATCTGTGAGTGGGGGAATATTCCCGCCAAAATTTGAGACAGAGAGAGAGGGTATAAAAAGGCTGAAGAGAAGTGGAGCGGGTCAGTGTTGGTTTTGTTTTTGGTGGTGCGCGGTTTGGTGTGTTATTGGTGGTGTGTAGAGGATTGTTGGTGGATGGTTGTTTATTGTTATTATTAATATTGTTGTGTATAGGTTTATTTAATTCATAAGTGCATAATTTAAGACATCATGCGGTGGAAGTGGTACTCGAAGAAACAGAGAAAGAAGAGAAGGCAACTAGCGAAGAGGAGGACGAAACGAAGATAGAGAGGAAAAGAAGGGAGTTCGAGAACAAGCAGGCAGAGATGTTAAAGGATATCGTGGGTTTTATTTATTTTACTTATTTATTATTAATTTTATTATTATTTTATTATTATCATTTTTGTTATTATTTTTATTTTAATTCTTATTGTTATAAAAGTAGCAATTATTTAGTGATATTATATTTGGTGTGAATTCTGTTATTGTGGTTGTTTTTGAAATGGTTTTATTGTGAACGCATCGCAGTGGGGGGGAATATTCCCGCCAAAATTTGAGGGAGGGAGAGGGTATAAAAAGGCTGAACAGAAGTGGAGCGGGTCAGTGTCGTTTTGTTTTTGGTGGTGCGCGGTTTGGTGTATTATTATTCTTATTTTTCTTATTCTTATTCTTATTCTTATTCTACTACTACTACTACTACTACTACTACTACTACTACTACTACTACTACTACTAATTTCCTCTTGGTTTAGTTGGTTTTGTATTATTTACTACTGTATGAAAGTAATTGTAATAATTGTAAAATGATTGCAGACCAATGTCAGTGTAGAAATGATGCTGTACAGTCGGAGTTATCTGATGTTGATGCGGGACGTGGTCAAGGAATTGAAACTGAAGACGTGTCCAGTAGAGGAGACGGAGTTGAAGAGCTTGGGCATCGACATCGGGACGGCACCGGTGGTGAATATGGACAGACAGGTGGTGGTTATTTCTAGTATTTATTGTTTTTGTTTTTGTTGTTTGTTTACTTTATTGTTTGTTATTGTTATTATGTTAATGTGAATGTGTGTGCTTTAGCAACGACGTTTGGAAGGTGTGTCGAGGGCGTTTGCACCGGGTTGGATGCCGGATAATAAGAATCCATTGAGACCGAAGCAGGTAGTTTTTGGTATTGTTTATTGTTGTTGTTTACTGCTTTTTAGAGTTATTGTTTATTATTTATTATTGTCGTTATTTATGTTATTTATTGTTTTCAATATTGTTAATTTTATCGTAATGGATAATTTTATTGAAGTATCATGGGCGTTTGAGTGATCGTGGCCATTCGCAACGTACAGATCGTGATCGAAAGCGGGTTGGTTTTGTTATTGTTATTATTTATTATTATTGTTACTATTTATTATTATTGTTATTTATTATTATTTGTATCGTTTAATATATAAAAATAATTTGAAGGGACCGATTAGCAGACCGTCAATAGATCGCCCGGCACGAGAACCAGTCAAATTGCATAAATCTGAGAACGCATGGAAACATGAGGCGTTGTCGCAGTTGGATAAGGATCAGGTATTATTTATTATTACTATTATTATTGTGTGTATTATTGTATATATTATTATTGCTATATTATATGCATATCATTATTATTAATTGCTAATTTAATAATTGTTATAGNGTGATCGACATCATTTTCGACAAGGCTGTCGAGGAACCGAAGTTTTGTCCGCTTTACAGGCTCGTTTTATATTGTTATTATTTATATTTTTTATTGTTATGTATTATTATTATTTGTTATTATTTATTATTGTTATTGTATAAGTAATGATAAATATTGCAGTGATTTATGTAAGAAACAAGTGATTGAAGAGTCACAGGAGAGTGGCAAATCGGAATTTAGAAGCGGTATTTTGACAAGATGCCAACAGACTTTTGAAACGAAAAGACAGGACGAGATCAATAAGAAGAGGGAGGAGGCAGCGGCCGAGAAGGATGTGAGTGCGAGTTTTATTATTATTATTGTTATTTATTATTGTTTATTATTATTATTTATTATTGTTGGTGCTATTTATTGTTACTTAGTGTATTGTAATTGATTATAATTGTTATTATTTGATATTAGTATTTTTATTGTTGTTATTATTTTTGTTCTTTTATTGTTACCTATTATTATTAATTATTGTTATTAATATTGATTATTATAATTAAAGGAGAAGAGGCAGAAGGAGTTAAAAATCGAGGTAATGGAAATGGAGGCGAAGGAAC